CTTTCAATTTTTTATTTGTGTAAATTAATTTTCCTTAAAAATTAAATTTAATTAAATTTTTTTTAAAATTTTTTTCAATAATTTTTTTTTCCATTTTTTTTACCCTCCTAAACAAATATTTCAGAATTAATAATGGATATATTAAAAATTTAATAAAAAAATGGAAACCTTTTCAATTTTTTTTTTATGAAAAAAATTCAACTTCAATAAAACACAAAAGCGAGACATAGCCCGTTCAAAATAGTAGATTTAGAATATTCAAAAAAAAAAAAAAATTATAAAATCGATGTATGTATTAAACTAATAGCTCGATAATTATCCGAAATAAAACTCAAATATTAACTATGAAATATAGACTTTTTATTTATAATACTCCCCAAGAAATATTAATTCAATTATACTCATTAAATCCTTCAAAAAAAAATAGTCATAAACTCTTCATAAAGGATTTTCATGAATTAACTCTATTAGATTAACCAATCAGTTTTCACTTAATACCCCTTCCATGTGTAAAATATAAAAAAATAGTTGATAATAAGGAAATAATTCATAAAGAAAATTACAAATCATTTTTTTCAAAAGTAAAAAGAAAGAATATCGACAAAAATAATTTATTCATTTTTCCACCAACAATAAAACATTTTAATAAAAAATAATAAAAAAAAAAAACCAAAACTTGGATAATATTTTTATCATTATTAAATTTAATTAGTTGTAGAGTTACAGGTAATATGAGTTGGGTAAAGATTAATAATAGAGTTTGGAAGAATGAGGAATAAAATGGAACAATTTTAAAAAGTTTATTAAAAGAAATTCAAGTCTTGGTTACTGATGAACTTAACATTGAAATAGTTCAAGTAAAAATCATATAAATCACAATTAATACAGCAAATAAATATCAAAATATTTAGATAAAAAATCTGCTTTATTTTTCTTTTCAATAACAAAATTATTTCTAAAATTAATAAAAGTTTATTTTTATAATTTGAAGAGTTAAAATAATTATGTAAATAAATTTGATAATAATTTTAAAAGATATAATTAAAAAATATTAATGATTAATAATTTAACAGCATCTTCTACCACGACCAATATCAATATCGATATTTATAATGTTACTGTTTCCACTGCTGCATGGATTGAAACCACATGAACCACCACCTAAGCTATTACCAAAACAAGCTGATTCATTATCAAAGAAAAAGGTACTTCTTAATGAATTTAACATTGAAATAGTTGAAGCACTGTTAACTGGGTTCATTGATGAAATAGATTCTATATAAAATAAAAGTTTTAGATACACATAAAAAACTATATATAATAATTTTTTTTTTATATTTACTAATAATTGACATTTTAGAATTTAGATTTTATCTTTGTTATTTAGTTTGTTAATATTTGAAATGAAAATTATTATATTTTTTTTTTTTTTATACAACCGTAAATTAATGCAATGATAAACACCCATTAATTTTTTTTAATTTTTTTAATTTTTATTAAAATTTTCAAAATAAAATTCCAAATATAACTCATTAATAGTTTATATAATTTAATAAAGATAATATATTTATAAATATAATCAATTTCATTCAATTCAATAACTTTATCTTTTTTAAAATATTTTTTTACATTTTAATTGTCATTAAATATTTCTTTCACCACTCCAGATTTGATTAATCAAGTAAATATAATTTT